GTTGGGAGGGACGGGAGGTTTCTGTCTTATTAGAAGTGCTGTCCAATTGAATGGTGAAACCGCTGACAAAGTACTCAAACTCTAGACCAGTTTATTAGAACCAGAATTAAGACATTTTGTTGAAATACTTTTTTAATTATAATTTGATGTCAAATACCGCGGAATAAATCTCTCATATTATGTGAAGACATGTCAGTAATTGTCATCCGATTGTCAACTGATTTCAGTTTAAATCTCCAGACAATCGTGCCGTTAGTGTTCGGGTAATGTCTTGTGGCAAATATGTGTTCATCGGTGGTAAACAGTCCTCCCATTGCTAACAATGAGTTTTTGTATGCAATGTCACAGAATTGGTTCCCATGAGTGATGACTAAAATGCTGTGAATTATGGCTATTAATAAAGAATTCATTGGTTTCTGCAATCAGTTAGTGATTAAAATATTGTGACATTTGATGCTATGATTTGAAATACAAATAAAAAATCGGAGCGAAGTCTTGAGCTATAAATACATTGTTAAGTATTACAGTATACGTGAAAAGTGTTGAGAAATAGCTGTTCCTTATGTGAGATAATTGTTTGTAATGTATATAATGTTTGGCAACAATTAAATCAATGCTCTCTTAGTGTTGACTCCAATAATGACAACTAAATTGTATTACATTTGGCATACATTGTATTCATTAGAATAATCAGAATATGATAAGAATATTCTGTGCTCTCTCTCTCTCTCTCTCTCTCACTCTCTCTCTCACTCACTCACTCACTCTGTGCTCATATAAAGCACTGGTAGGCAAACATCGAGAGGGAACTACACGTGAATCTAATGCTTGCAATGCATTAATAGATTTATTTTAAAGACTCTCATCTGGTTTTGCGAGTGATTTATGACACGATTTATTGTAAATAATATTTTTGAAACATTATTATTATATATAAGTTGAGAGCATTTGAGTAATGTATGGCAAATGTATGAAGATTTTAAACTAGCGTTTGTCTGATGGGAATGGGATGCGAGAGAGTGAGACTCACTGTGAGGGATAGGGTTCAAGTGAGAGAGCACCGGGAGATACAGTGGAGTGGGGAGTGTGGGTGATACCAAAAATGGATTGCATTCTGACAACACATTCAGTCAAACAGTTTTAACACTGTTTTCCCATACGGTTGAGAGAGAGAGAGAGAGAGAGAGAGAGAGAGAGAGTTATAGTGTAGTAAAAAATAGCATATATATACACTGTATATTATACAGTATTCTTAAGATTTAAAAATATAACTATTTTTTCACATTTCCACTCATTCTCAGTGAATGCATAAACATAATACACATTGAGATGTGATTGTATTGTATGCATAGGGATGGGTAGGCATGAAAATTAGAGTTTTATGTGTAATTTTTTTGGTATTTATACTATAAAATAGTTTTATTGTTTTTTGTGTTGAAAACAAAACACAGTTTTTGTATGCAATCCAAAAAGTCAGTCCAAGTAATTATTGAATTTAGGTTTTCTCTACTATTTAGATGAGTGCAGGAAATTCTCTCTCATTATCTCTATATATCTGAATACTTATCTCATTGACTCTCTCTCTCTCTCTCTCTCTCTCTCTCTCTCTCTCAACCGTATGGGAAAACAGTGTTAAAACTGTTTGACTGAATGTGTTGTCAGTATCATCAACAGCACCGGGCGATTGGGAACCGCTATTGGGAACGACTGGTGCCATACGTGCCGTTCGACTCGTATTACTATCACTTAATTGATCTCAAATTATCACCAAATGCTTCCCAAAAACAGACACTTGTGGTCACCGAACAGATGGCATACGAATTGTTGGATAATAATACTCTTCGCGAAGTTATGGTAAGTTGTTTGAGACAATCTGGTCATTCATAACAGATAGTAAGTACACACCCCTTGTCCTCCCTGTCCCCCCAGTCGTGTACATACTTATTGAATGAATCAAAGGAATGGAATAAAATTATTGATAACCTAATTGACAGCACCCGTGGAAACTGTTTGGCTGCCAATCCCTGGGTCCTGGAGTTATGCTTAGGAGTCTGAATGGGGGAAAGGATTCAGATACCGGTGCCATTTATATGTTAGGCGTAAAGCTATCAAACGGAACGGCAGTAACACTGGAAACCTATGACAATATCGACCGACAACTGACCGTTCAGTTCATTGTCGGGAATATTCTTTACATTTCTATATATTCTGGGATTTTGTATTATATTTACACCAATTCTGTCTAAATGTTTGCTATATTTATCACCTATTTTTGTACACAAAATACAAAATTATAAAATAATTTATAAAATAAAAATATGGTATAAATACCCCCGTTATTACCCTTTACTACCATGGTAAACCATTATACATTTTTTTTATCGATTTACATGAATCGATATTTTTATTAAAACACTAAATACGGTATTTTCACAAATATTTTATGAAAAAAAGTTATAAAACTTTTTAATCATATTATAATACAATATAATTTAATATTCAGACTGATATTGCAAAGTACGTACACACAGTAAATAGCTTGGGAGGGGGTGGTAGGGGTTCATGTGTTTGTAATTTTAATTAACATTATTTTTTGCGTTCAAAGTTGAAGGTCAGTCCGTTTTTGTGCTGGCTATTCAAATGAGTAGTCATCACTACTGTTTTAAGCCACACACTAAGTTAGTATCACTAACTCATGGCACCAGTAGCCCTGACACTAGTATTAATATTTAATTTTAATTAATTAGCAGCTATTGCTTGTTAAGAGGGCTTAGGTTTATATGACTTGTATATTATAATAGCTATGTTTGAACAAAATATTTCGTATTTCAGTTTCACTTTAAGACTAAATTAAAATATTAATTACTAAAGTCTTTTAGTTATAATTATAGTTCACATCATTTCTAGCGTTATAACTGAATAATTGAATAATGAGTGAGTTTTGTGTTACAAAAGTAAAAGTCAATCAAAGCGTTCACTTTGTGCTCAACACTATACTAACCGCTTGTCTATTGAACTGAACACTCGATTCATTGAAATGCTATTAATATTGACTAATAATAACATAAGTATTATATATATTAAGTCATTATATAATCAACACTTCATTCATACGACAATTTGAACGCCAATTAAAACCACAAAATAAAAGACAAACAAAAGATCAGTCAATATATGAGACAAAGACCGCGCGGTTAAGCCCTAACCACACACTAGTGGTCACCATAAGAGGTATAAGACATCTTTGATCGGTTGCCACCACTGATACCATAATACCACAGATAGTGATCATATCGGTGGACACCCATCGCCTCAAGAATGACGGGACCCGTGGGTCGGCCACCGCTGAGCGCACGTCTGGACAACAGCCGTCCCAACAGATCCCAGAGTCCGGTGAACCCGGAAGACGCGGCACGACTGGAGGAGCGGAAGCGCCGGAACCGCGAGTCGGCCGCCAAGTGTCGACAGAAGCTGAAGGAACGGCTGGTCTCGTGTCAGCGGGAAGTACTCAAACTGCAGAGGATTAGGAGTGCCCTCCAGAACGAGAGGCTCTTATTGGACATGGAGTTCGAGAAAGTGAGGGCTGAGTTGGCCCTCCACGAGGATCACTGCGGGTTCACTGTGAGCGCCGACACCCCACTGGACGCACTGCCAGCCCTTATGGAGTCGGCTCTCGAGATGAATGGTGGCGCCCGTTGTGATGACCGATCCGGTGGCACAACCCGTCGCACACATACTCCCAGTCATACCATGACTCGAGCCGAAGCTGAAGCCCAAGCCATGATTGAGGCTGAGCTCGAGTGCGAGTCGGAGGCTGAGGGGGAGGTTGAAGGGGAGGCTGAAGCGGGGGCAGTGGCACAGGTAGACAGTGGCGCACACTTTGAGGCCGATTGGCCGGTATTGGACGAGCCCATGGAGGCGTTGGACGACTCGTTGAGTTTTGCCGACGTTATAAAGACTGGTATCGACATCGATGGTCATGAGGGCAGCGATTTGTTTGGTACTAATGGTAATGGCATTTGTAAGGACTTTGGGTATGGCATCGACTAATCATTCATTATCGCATTAATTATCTCTCAATTAACTCATTATTACATCTAATTATGGTATTTATACCTGAACTCAATCTATAGTTTAATATATATCTGAATAACAGATTTAATTATCTCGACAAAAATATTTTTGTATTTTTTTTGTATTTTTTTGTATTTCATTAAATATTATTTGGTATCCCTTTACCGCAATAAGATTTGCAATTTTATTGCAATATTTGTGTGTCTATTTAAATTATAATATAGCTTTTTGTATGATATGAAAATTATTTTTGTTAATAAAATGTATCGTTTATTTTATAATCTAAATATTATATCAATTACCGGTAATATTTGTATCGCATTTCGAGTTACAATCAAATTGATTGAATTTAATGTCTATATTTGTGTTTTAAATTTCTTGTAAACGTATTGAAATAAATGTGTCAATGAATGGTCAATAGATAAAGTGGACAGGGATTAGGGATTATATGTAGACATATTTTAAGATAGTAGACCTACCCTACCCTACAGGTGTCAGTCACTTCAGATTATAATAATAGGGATTATAGGTAGTGACTGACCCTGCAATACAGTAGGAGTCAATATAAAGTTTCAAATAAAGTATTAAATGTTTAATTAAATAGTTATATAATATGTTTTAGTAATTTAATATAATTGAATAAAAGTTTTGTTTATTTAAACGAAATATAAGTTTAAATAATTGTTTTATTATTTAATTGAAAGAGATTTACATCTAATACAATAAATGAGAGACAAATTGAGGGAAAACTAGAAAATCTAATTAATAAAAGTATAATAAGTTTTGTGTTTTTAGATAAAAATTATTAACTCATTTAAAAGTGAGAGAAAAAGAGACAAACATTTAGTATAATTAGAAATAAATTGAGAAAAGACATGAAATTATGTGAATATTTTGCATAATAATGAAAGCAATGACACTATAAATTAAAACGTGTATTATTTCATGAATTAATTGGCGATATATTAAGTGACAGAATATTCTTTGGGTAAGAATTTAAAGTAATTAATAATTTTTAGTGTAAAATTATATAATTATAATTGAATAAATTTGTATTTATAGTGCCATAGCTTTGAACATAATTTTCGTAAGCATTTAATTAGTTTTTATAAAACTTTTGCGTTTTTCAAAAACAAATAAACTTAATAAAAAAGTTTTTCCTATTTATTTATTTATAATTTGTTTTGTGAATATAAATGAGTATTTTGTTGGCAAAAGTCAGGCATTAATTGAATGCTTTTATGTCAATAAAAAGCAAACATAACGTTAGAAACAAAAAGTTGTTTTCCGAGAGAAAATATAATTAGTTTTGAATTACAAACTCACTTATGGATTGAGTTTTCGTAGAGATTTGTTACAAAATATTTTTGTTATAGATTTTCAAACGATATATTTTGTGTCAATTAGGCAAATATGAGTAAATACTACACGAATAGCACACTAATAGCATCACATTTGAATTAATGGTAATTATCAGTAAAATAAGTAGTCGTTGGCAGTCATACAACACGTGTTAAAAACATTGAGTGTATTTATAATTATAAGTTTGATTATCAGCTACGGGTTACTACTGACACCCCATTCCCCCTCACACCAGGGGGACAGTCAGTCAGTCAATCAGTCAGACATCTAAATGACAAAATCAAACACATATTTCTAAATGAATTAAAAATGATTCACAAAAATCTAATCCGAGTTTCAAAGCAAACAAATTAATGGCAAAATGGGATTAAAAAAGTTTTCAAAACGCAAGCAATTAATGGCATCATTAAAATATTATATAAAAATCATATATAAAAGCGCTTTATGTGAGTAATACACAGAATATTCTTTAAAGAATATAATTGTATTCGCATGCGGTTATCACTAATCAATTAGCAAGCTAATCGTAATAAATATATTTCCAAAAATGTATTTATAATTAAAATCATAATTAAAGACATATTTGTGTCCGAAAAACGCATACATTTCCCGACTAAATAAGGCCTCAATTATCGCTTAACTCACCGTAAAATTGAATACACCGTTAGGTATGACTTGTCCGCCGTATTTCACTTCGATGGTGTAGTCGCCGGGCTCCTGGACTTTATACTTGATACTGTAGGTGCCGTCGCCGTTGGGCACAACCTTGCAGTCAATATTATCGGCCACTTCGCGACTGGTGGCCGTTTTGGTCTCCTTTTTGGTGGTCTTAATAATTCTGGTGCCGCCGTCCGGTGTCGTCTCATACCTCTCGGTCGACGACTCGGACACCTCAGATGAGGACTGGGTTCGGGTCACCCGACAGGTCACGTCTCCATTGCCTCCCGCCTTATCCGCCGCAATGGTTACACAATATTCTTCATTCGGCGCCAATTTGTCTTTGAATTTGCCTAAAGTGTTGCACAAATAATAAAAGTTTATGAATTTTTTTAGTATTTAATTGTAATGCTTTAAAATTAGTGTTTATTATTACTGATTTGTAAATTAGTTATACTGTATTGAAATCATTGCATAATATTCAGTATTTTTTATATAAACCTAATGATCAGGTTGATTTAGATTAAACTAATTGGCGTAGAATTTGTTTTTACAGAATAATTATTCGTAAAATTGATTGAAACTTTAGATTAGAATATTGAGTGATTATAAAACATAATAAAGTTTCACAGAATATTCTCTGTTGTATAGAATTTGAATGAAAGTATAGTAAATAAGAGATAATAATCGCCACACATTTGGCACCCTTTCTAGAAATAAATGCCTACTCTTTGATGAATCACTTATTAGTATCTCATTTGCAGCTAAAGATTTTATTGCAATTCATTGTATAAGACTAATGAGATAAAAAATTAAGCTTTATTTTTATTGTATAATATTAAGTGTTTTTAAATTCTTTCAATATTCTAAAACATGAAGTATTTATCTGATAATTTTAGTCGATTTTGATGTCTTATTTTCTTATATAATTAATACATACTAGAATACATACTCAATATAAGAATTGCAAACAAAACAAATCTAAAAATAACAATTATTTAATGCAAATATTTCCCATCATTTGTGTCGATCACTGAAATCATATCAAATTTCCTAAACATAGTGTTCATTCATATTCTTGTACTAAACGCTGAGACAAACAAATTCTTTGCCAAATATATACAGAACTCATGTAATATTCTGCAAATCAACACATTGTGAGAAAATAATTACCAGAATTACACTAAAAATAAAACCTAAATACGTGGCTATTATAATGGGAAGGGGAGGGAAATACTGTATCACAATTTAGTAAAAAGTGATATTTTTAGGACCATTCACTAAATACGTAAACAAGTTCTCATGTGATGTAATCGTAAAAACAAACCTTTAATTTGAATTTTATTCACGTCTCCCGTGGGCTCGCTTTGCACCGAAATGGGTGGACACACCTCCTGACCGTCGTATTTGACGGATATTTGGTGCTCACCGACATCCTCTGGCAAGTACCTGGACACATTTTATATAAAGTATTTAATTAAATCAACATACAAACTAAGTTACACCCAAAAGCACCAGGCTCAAAAACCATACCTGATTTTATAGGTGCCGTCGTGGAAGTCGGTCTTCCAGTACTTCATGGCCTTCTTGTCGGGCCCCAGGATCTGGACGTCCAGTTCCCCGAGACCGGCGCTCTTGGCGTCCACTGTGAACTCCTGGGGCAGGGATGCGGTCACCTTCTTGTCCAGACCCGGACCCGAGAGCTTCACGTTCTTCGGCTCCGACTTCTTCTTCACTTTCATCTTAAATGGACTGAAAGGATGCCGTTTAAGACAATTGTAGACAAAAATGACACAATTGTTGTGCCATTCAGAAGCCACCCGTCCATACATACCTGCCCTGAATATCTTTGCCGCCGTACTTCACACTCACATCGCATTTACTGCCCTCAGGAGGCGGTACGTATGACACGCTATACGTGCCGTCCTTATTGTCCGTCACTTCCGGTTTCTGAGCGATGGGTCCCTTATCTCCCGTCACCTCTACCTCGAGGGGCGCCTTAGCTGACCGCTTGGCGTTCACTTTGAAGGGTAGTGTAGGCGCCGCCCGACAATTATTAGGATCGACGCCCGGTCCGGTAGCCGTCACTTTAGAGGAGTCCACTTCCGATTGCACCGGTACTTTGAATACACTGCCTATAAGTACATATAGAGGGTAAGCCTTGAAATCTTAGTGGATATTAATAGGTATGGATATTACCAGGTACATTTTGATCGGCAAACTTGATGGCAACGTCGTAAGTGCCGCCCTCATCGGGCACATACTCTACCAAACAGGTGCCGTCCCGGTTATCCTTACAAGTGACCTTAGCTTCGGTGGGGCCCTCCACTGACAGCCCTATACCTCCGTTACCGGCGTTTATGGTCTCAATAGTGAACTGATTGGGCTGATGGACGAACCCCTTCTCAATGCCGGGGCCGTACACCTTCACGCGCTTGGGGTCGGCCCCGTGGGTGGCCTTCACGGCTACCGGTGACGCACCGGGAATGGGCTGACCGTCAAACTTGACATCAAACTTATAGTCGCCTTAAGAGTAGTAATAATATCGTAAATAATACACATCACGATGGGACAATTGAATGAGTACGTACCCTCATCGGGAAGTATGTAGGTCACTTTATAGGTGCCGTCGTTATTATTCTTGACATGAGAGCTCACTTTCTTGCCGGTGGGGCCCGTTATGGTTGGCTCTACCGTTCCGTCGCCCGCCTTATCCACGGCCGAGGCGTTCACATTGAATGAGTTGATACAGTTGACGAACTGGTCTGTTAGAGGGGAGGGGGAGGGGAAAGACATTTGTTTTTAATAATTGTTTTGTTGTGTTTTAATTGCAAAACGATTTCATTTTAACATTCATAGGAATATCGTATGAAATAGTTATCAAAATTAATGTCACAAAAAATGATTTACAAAAACAGTCTATGAATTAGTTTTTCAGACAAAATGCAAACATTTATATATACTGTAAGATATTTCTAGACATGTATAGCGAGAATCCCGGGGCGGCGGGATGGGTACGGGGCTACTGACCCGCGTCGATACCGTAGACCCGTATTTGTTTCAAAGTGACTCCGGTGCCCATTATTGACGTAAATGGTGAGCCAGTGATATGGTGGCCGTCGGAGGTAACGTGAACCGTGTACCTGCCCGGCCTAGTGGTCAGGTATGCCACCGAACAGCTCCCGTCCCCGTTATCCCTGCAGTCAATCAAAGCCCGCGACGGGCCGTCAATAACGACAGATAGCCCTCCGATGGGCGGGGAGTCAAAGGGTACGTTCTTAGTGTCTATAATGAACTGGGCCACTTTTCTAATGGTTCCGTGAGTTAGGCCCGGCCCGTAAGCTCGGATTAGTTGGCTCACATCCCGGCGGCCGTACGCGCGGACACGGAATGGTGAGCCCGGTATGTATATGCTGTTCCAGAGCACAGTTATCACATAATCTCCCACTTGGTTGGGCACATAGTTTATTAGGAAACAGCCAGCGCTTTGTTGGTCGGTTTCGGGAATGATTGTCGGCAGGAATGNGGCTCACATCCCGGCGGCCGTACGCGCGGACACGGAATGGTGAGCCCGGTATGTATATGCTGTTCCAGAGCACAGTTATCACATAATCTCCCACTTGGTTGGGCACATAGTTTATTAGGAAACAGCCGGCGCTTTGTTGGTCGGTTTCAGGAATGATTGCCGGGAGGAATGACTGTCCGTCAGGTGTGCTTATTATCACAGATAACTCGTCCGAATCGAGGGCACTGGTAGGTTGGCTGTGGTTGTCTCTTGGGTCGACCCGTACGCGGAATTGCCTGATTGTGTCGATGAGTACCACTGAGAGGGGGAGGGGTTAGTCAGTCAGACCCGTGTCAGTGAATAGTGTGCGCACTGGTAGTGGACAGGTATGTCATGCACTTCTAGCATCATATATAGGGTTAATCACAATGGTTTAAACGCCCGGTGCTATTTGTTATTGATTTATCATTAAATTACAGGATATTCTTAGTGTTATAATTATTATGGCAAACATAAACGGTTTTTGTATTAAACAGAATATTTTTGTTAACAAATAAAACAAATAGGAATTCCACTACAATTATAGTGAATTCTAGCTCCATATAATGAACTGGACAAATATTGTGCACAATGTCACTAACTATAATATGAAATAATAAAATAACCTTGATAATGTTATTCCACACATTCATTATACAGAGAGTAAACTATTGGCACGAATTATGTAACACAGAATTCACTGCAGAATCGCATTGAAAAGTAAACCTAATTCTTGTTCAATCAGTACATAAGCAACAAATTGTTGTAAATTATTGTTAATTTCCTTAATTACTGTATACAAAATATACAGAATAATATTACATTTTATAAACTATGAAAACTGACAAATAGGGGGTTGGGATGATATAGTGGGTCGTCGCACAATTGGCGTACGTACTTATTGAACAATTTCTAATACAAATGTCATAATCCTTGTCCACTCACTTGTCTCGAGTCCGTCCACTTTGACTTTGGACACATCGGCGGGTGGGGTGACGTTAAGCTCAACGGGTGACCCGGGCACAGGCCTACCAGCGAATGTAGTGTTCACTTTGTATTTGCCGGGTGCCGGTGCCGTGTATTCGCAGGTGTACTGACCATCCTGGTGATCGGTGATCTGGACGGGTACGTCCTTTCCCTTTTCGTCCTTAACAGTGGTCGCCAGTCCTCCACCCCCTGCCTGTCTGGTGTCCACTATGTAATACGTGGGCTGCTTTGGCTTAACACCCTTTGACACGCCTGGCCCTGACACTTTCACCTGGATATAGTTATTTAATGAATTAACGGGTCGTTCAATTAGTCACGTGAGTGCACCCATACCTTAGCCGCGTCGGGAACGCCACCGACACTGACCCGGAAGGGGCTCTTAGGGACGGCTACACCGCCATAGTTGACGTGAACCGTATGTTTGCCCAACTTATCCGGCTTATACTGTGCCTTAAACGTGCCGTCCTTATTGTCGGTCAGTTTGACGTCCAGATCCTTATAGTCGGCGTTATTCATGACCGACACGTCTAACGGCGCTTTACCCGCCTTACGGGTGTCGACCGTAAACTCGGTGGGGGTCACAATCACCACACCCTTGGGCTCCAATCCGGGTCCGGACGCCACGACAGCGTCGGGATTGTAGTCGGTCTTCGGTATAATCATCGGCATGTATGGGCTGTTGGGTATGTCCTCTCCATCGCAGGTCACGTGAACGGCGTACTCGCCCGGAGCCGACGGGTGGTACTCCACTTCGGCCGACCCGTCGCCGTTATCGCGGCACTCAATCTTGGCATAGGAGGGGCCCTCCACCGAGAAACCTAACGTTCCCATCTCGCCATTGGTGTCCACAGTGAACCGGGCCGGGTGTCCGACCACACCTCCCTTCAGTCCGGGCCCGTACGCCACGATCTTAGACTCCTTGACGGGCGATACCTGTACCTCATAGGGAGACTGGAATATCTCCTGTCCGGCGAAGTTCACGACAACCACATACCGGCCCTCTTTCAACGGTTTATAGCTGCAGTCGTAGGTCACGCCGTCCGGCAGTTTCCGCAGCGAACACTTGATAGGCTGGCCGTCCGGTCCCAACACTTTCACCTCCGGAGTGCCGGCGCCCGCGCCCTCCGTAAACACTTTGAACTCTGCGTTGTCGTTGACCCGAATGCCGGTGGGCTGTAGACCCCGACCCAAGGCTCGCACTTTCTCGGCATTACACGCCGGCGCCACCTTCACGTTGAAGGGAGAGTTGGGTACGGGTTTGCCCGCGAAAGACACCTCCACTTTGTGGGGGCCCTCCAATTGGGGCGCGTATTCGCACTTGAATTTTGTCGGGTCGTCGTCCAACTGACGCACCCGTATGGGCACAGAGTTGGACTTCCCTTTCGGGTCGATCACCGTCACGTCTACCTGACCCACACCGGCCTCTAAAGGTAATCGCAAACAAAGGGTTCATTAGTTTACAACTTATGGCTAATAAATAAATATCACTTTACGTACCATGAGTGTCAATGTTGAATTCTGTAGGCGTTCCCACTTTGAGTCCCGTGGGCCTAATGCCGGGGCCGTCGCACTTCACCTTAGAGGGGTCACCCGCCACGCCCTTCACCTCCACATCGAAGGGAGACTTCGGCACCTCTACCCCCGAGAACTTGACGATCACCTGAAATACACACAAATTTAGTGAAACATTAGAAAAATGTTTAAAAACTTTGGGTTAGAGGGTATGGATTGAGGTAGGAGTGGGTAATACTATGCAATAAAACAACTATAAATGCATACCTTATGGGGGCCCTCCTGGTTGGCTGTATAGGAGCACGTGTATGTCTTACCAGGGTCGTCATTAAACTTGACCTCCACAGGTGTCTGTTTGCCACTCGGGTCCTGTAGGAAGACCTTGACGTCTCCCTGTCCGGCGCTAAACGAGTCGACTGTGAAGCTGGTCTTCGCGCCCACATTCACGCCCGTCGGCTGTACTCCCGGTCCGTAACACCGCACTCGCTTCGGGTTGTGTCGGGGGCGGGTGGGGGCGTTGTCCTTCAACTTGGCGTTTGGGAACTGTATTCAAGATGATTATATCAAACATAATAAGTTATTTTAACTAGCGCATAGTTATTTCATAGTTATAAGCTAATTACCTGAGCCAGGTACGTCATCATGGACAGCTCATCCACCTTGGGATTGGTGAGCTCCTCGGGCGCCACCAGTTGCGGGACACTCAGGAACTGTTCGGCTATTTTCATGGCTTCGGTCGCGTTTTTGAGGGCATCCTTCGGGTCCCAGCGCTCCCAATCGGGACACAATCCCGGAGCACAGGCGTCGACGAGAGCGCCGATAGCTTTGCCATTATTCCAGTCTGTGGTGAAGTTATTGATGGGCACTTCCGGCACCTTGTTTTGGATCCACTTCAGGAGGCGTTGTTTAGGAGTGGGTCCGCCCTTCTCCTTATACATCGACTCGTCCTCCCCCTCCCACATCGGCATCGATATGCTGTAGTGGAGGACCAGTGTCCACATCACACCGCATATTAGCTTCACCTTACCGTCCACTATGTCTATGCTATCTGTGGGTCGAGATAATGGACATCAGAATGTAGTCAATATTTATGATATCTCTATGACTAGAGGTTTGTTATATTTCTTAACAAACTTTTTATTCAATCTATAATTTAAATCTATAAATTACTAAACTAAATTATATTTGTAAATAAAGTATCATGGTAACTTTATATTGAATTATATATTCAGAAAATGTGTAATTACAGCTTGTACTGTACCTAACTACACTATAAATACATTATAAATATTATAAATACACTTAAAATACATTATAAATGTGCTAAATATAACAATAAATCAACTAAAACTCTTTATTGTACTGAAGTATCAATAATACATATACGGTATAAGGGTTTAAATAACAAAATATGTTCACTATTTAATTACAGAAAGTAAAAGTTTTTGAGAAATGATTTAGATTTATTAAATATTTTTCTTGGCTTTGAATCTCTATTTCTTATTTGTATTTTTTACTTCAAAACTATTAATTAAAAGGTTTTTCGTTAATTTTGTGTAATTTTTATTTGTCTTTTTCGGTGCTATTAATAAAATCTATTTTAAATGTAGATTTCAGTTGAAAAGTTTGTCACTTATATAATGTTACCTAATATTGACTTTAAGAGTTACATTTGAAAACATAGAAAAATATTTTTAAATAATTAAATTAAATAACTTATTAATAATAAATAAAAGTTTCTTAAACAAAATTTTAAATAATTTTTAAACTATAAAACAATTAATGAATACAAGCTATGGATTCATGTATAATAATCACATAATACAAACATTCAAAGGCAATAAATTAAATGATTGTAATTAAAAAAATAAAAATAGTTTTTAAAGTCATTTAAAGTTTAATTTTAAATAGGATTGAAAAAAATGCTAAACATTTGTGTCGTTAAGGACTAGGATTACAGTTAGAATTTGTTTACAGTAAGACTTATAGTGTAATTAATTATTATTATTACATAAATAACACAAAAATAAAGTTTTAAAACAATTGGAGAATGGTAAACATAAAAGGAAAGGGAGGCTTAAGTTTCCACAAAAATGACATTTGAATGAAAAAATTAATGATTTTTGGTTTTTTGTGTTGTATTTACTGAATATTTTAACTTTTAGTTTATGTCTATTATATACACAAATATTTAAATGGATTTTATTTATAATAAAAATATTTTTTTCAACAAATTCTTTAAATATACAGAAATATTCTGTATTTATCTCTCGTATTAGCATAATATGAGTCAATGGATAAAAAGTTTAATAAATATCATTGAAAACTAATTACTCCATTCAATTTAATTATTCTACTTTGTAATGAACTAAAAATTTAAATGTATAATGTTCGCAAATATTTCTAAATGTTAATTTAATTTGAATTTATTTTTCTATTTCAATAAAATAGGAAACATTTAATATTGTTTATAGACTTTATATGGAAACCATGAATATTTTTAATGCTTTAATAAAGGATAAAGGATT